CTCGTGCTTAGGAACCTGCCAATATCCTGACGCTAAATCCAGGCAAGTGAACCATGAACAGCCAGAGAGTGAGTTCAATATGGCGTCAACACGTGGGATAGGATACGCATCTGGCTCCGCAATGCTGTTCAACTTGCGGTAGTCGATACATAACCGGAGAGATCCGTCCTTCATGGGAACGAGAACTATGGGCGACGCCCAGGGTCTAATGGACTCGGTGAGTATACCACGGGACAACAGACCATCCAGCAAAGCTTGCAAAGCGCGCGTAGGCTGCTTAACTGGCTGTATATCACCAGTACTACTACTATGTGGCAAAACATCACAAGGACCAAAATCACCCTCCTGCAAGAGAAACAAGTCATGATTCTCACGGAGAAGCTCTGTAAGTCTGTTCTTTTCAGGTACTGTCAGATGATTCCGAGACTCAACATACGTACGGATTATCTCGGCACGTTCAGGGGATAGCACAAACGGTTGCATATCCGCAACAGATGAATCAGCAGGATCATCATCCTCTCCAATCAAGTTATCGGGTACAAGAGATAATTCTGCAATATCAACATCTGTAGCAATTTGTACTGGGTAGTCAGAGTGATTCTCCAACACAACTACCGCACCGGACCTGCCAGGTCCAACCGTAACCACACTGGGGGTCACAGACACATCTGGAAACTTTAACAAGAATGAGTCCAGTGGAACAGCAACACAATCCACAGTGACAGATGCCTCTTGCACCGACTTGCACGGGACCAGCACGACATGGCCGGCAGGCAGAGTTAATTTACTACAAACAGTGACACGGGAATAGTACGTGCCCGGGTCTTCCTCAGAATTACTATCATTACTCCAAGAGTCAGATAGCGGGTCAGCGTCCGCCGCAACAACCGGACTGGGCTCTGATGGACCAACACTAGTAGCTTTCACGCCTAGCAGGACTGACAGATCATTAAAAGTTAGTGTGCCTTGAGCAATGTTCAATAATGCTCCATGGTCAAACAAGAAATCAGATCCCAATATCATATCACGGCAGATATCAGGAGACACTACAAATGTATGCAAGAATGAACGCTCTCCAATGCAGCATACAATATCCACAGCACCCTGAACCTGGAGTCCCTCACCATTAGCCGCACACAAACGGGGAGCAGCTTGCAAGGGCACATCACCATACGTGGACAAAAATGTTTGCTCATGCAACATAGAAACACAGGAACCAGAGTCAATTAACGCCGTTACACACTTGCCTTGAACATGGAGATCTAGCGTAGGGACTGACGATACAGCCTCGATACGTACTGCATCTGATGGCTCCTCGTGAACGACTGGGAGTTGTCCCACACCACCAGTCGTACTCAGTTTCCCGAGCGCCAAGGGTTGTGTGGGCAATCTAGAGCAAAATGGCCAGGTTGTCCACAACCACAACAAATCGGTGGTTCCACCTGACCACCACGACCATACGAATGTCCACGACCACTGCTACTACTATGAGGCTGATCAAATTCGAAACTTGCTCCTACAGGAACCTGTGTGCGTGGAGCAACAATTTCCAAACAGCTCAGTCTCTTTTCGAGGTCGGTCAACCTGCGATCAAGTTTCTCGAGCGCCTGAGCTAGTGGATCACGCACTCCGGTGTCATTAGACTGGTGCAACTCTGATGCACTGGCATGTTCGTCAGACGGTATCTTGAACGGACGAGGTCGAGGGGACCTGGTCTTCTTTCTGCCTTTGGACTTGCCCATCTCGATATCTCACTATCAATGGCCCAAGCTACAAACATTTGTAGTTCAAAAAAACTTTTGAAAAACGTTACAAAAAAATTGACCTACACAAAACATTCTGGTTACGTCAAACGGACGTACACGTGCACAGGACATGACGTCACCAGTGTACTTGCTAAGTACGCAAAATATTTTTGTGAAAATGTAGCCCTTTCTAGTTCTACACCAAACAAAACTGTTACTCATGCACAGCGAACGATCAGTCAAGGAGTAAAGAATGGAAAACGAGACGAAGGCTAGAATGATCAATACTAGTAAATTAGAACTTAGTCTGTGGGCTGGTCTCCCGAGTAGCTGGAACTGGTCTCAGACTCTCTGGAACTTGTCGACTCTGGAACTTGTCGACTCTGCAACTTGTCTCTCCTGCGGAGGCGTCTTCCCAGCCGTGGACAAAACCGACGACTATTTTTCCGCTGCCACCATTGTAACTCGTATACTCTCAGCACTCAAAGCACAATCATACTTGTTGTTACGTAAGTAGTTATCATTCGTTCATTGTCTCACAAGGAGAAGAAGAAGACAAGGCAGTGCGAGTATGCGCACTGCTATCCATGCATTCCTACGGTGTACTATTTATGTGTATACAAATTACGTGTCATAAAGTAGCCATGCTACATCTGCACTCTAGCACCCGTCATGTACTTAGTAAGAAAATGCCTCTTTTACGGGCAAATAATAATAATAATAATAATAATTTGAAACTCGGATGTTGAGCCATAAATAAATGTGGAAGAGAAAAAGACATATGGATACGAGTTAAGAGTAACTCCTAGTTATTGCACTTTCTGACTGTATATAGTATCATGTTACAGTGATGGAGAGTTACTCTTAACTCGTATCCATATGTCTTTTTCTCTTCCACAATAATAATAATAATACCACAGCACGCGTACAAAGGCCAAAGAACAATGCATGAGAATACACTGAAATTAAGCCAAGTCCGCATCTGTCTCCAGTCAACAAAAAACTCATCCATAAACAATGTCTGATCTCCATTTCGACTTGTCTGCAGCAAATGCTCGTGCTCCTTCTAGGTCGCTGGCATTCTTCAAAGGAATGTCGTGCCCTGCCAGGTCCTTCATGATGGTGGTAGGGAGAGTAGCCGCGGGACGGCCCCTTCGTCCACGTGACCCCGCTTGAAAATAGCAGGACATCGCAAGGCAAGGGGGTGACTGCTCACTCATCCTCAGCACATGGCCAGTGAGGCTACGGCGTCGCTTGGCAACAAGCTCCGACAGTGGCTGCGAGTCACATCTGGAATACAGATCATCATTCGTAATTCTGTCTGGATATCGCACTCCCACCAGGTTTCTGAGCTGTCGGCGGTGAAAACAGTCCAGTCGCTGAAAGACTTTACGGGCAAAGCGAAGCACAATCATCAACATGACTGTATCAGTACAGTGAATAGTTTAACCCAGCCCGAACGAAAATAAAAATAAGAAATAGAATAAAAATTGAATTGTTTGCAGGCAACCTGCCTACACTCAAGAGAGCACTGCATTTCACACCAATCCATTGGTATCGTTACAACGTTTCGGTCTTTATGACCATCATCAGGAATGAAGTGGACATGGAAAGAACAGCAGTATAAAAGAAGGAGGCAAGCAAGCAAAGCGCGGTACATAGTGACAGCGCGCGTAGAGAAGTGCAAAGCACGTCATGGCGGGTGTGCATTACTACATATACATGACAACACAAGCACAAACGGCGAGGAAAGTAGATACTAGTGTTGAAACGAGCGTATCTATAACAAACGAGCGATCAGTTCAACTAACGAGCAAGCTATCGAGCGAGCTAACGAGTTTCATTGATGTGGCAAATATGATTATTTTTTTGAATATTTTTTTTTCTAAGTATTAGTTCGATTTTTTCAGCTGGTTCAATTATCACCGCCGGCATTTGGGGTTGCTGCTGCTTCACGTTCGGACTGCTGTTTGGTGTCGAGATGTCTTTTCAGCGCCGTCGTCGATTAGCCTTTGTAAGAATAGACCGTTTTGCAAAGATTGCAAGGAGCCCTGGTCTTCGCTGCATCGCGGGAGAAAACTTCCAAACGACTGAGCGTAAGATTCACTCGAATGGAGAGGTGACCGAAGCATATCCTGCGACAGGTCAGCAGATGCGGAACAAGACATCAGTAGAGTCCACCAAAGCTGCAACGACAACTGAAACAACTCGAGTGTCGTGCAGGCATAAAGTCACCTGTAACTGCGAGTGATTTTCACTTTGTGCGGGACTGGACTCTCGATCGACCAGGGAGTCGTAAAATAGTTTACGACTCCCCGGTGGACATGTACAGCCATGTACATATAATGTGTACGGAGTGCGGTGTACGGTGTTCGTTAGTGCAAACGAGCTGGCCGCACAAACGAGCCGAGTTTCTGGCGAGCGAGCTAACGAGTATCCGGTGAGATCGTTTCAACACTAGTAGATACTGCGCTACAGCAGTGATAACAGCCCAGTTCCAGTCTCACACCACCAGTGAGGTGTGTAGAGCCCCGCGCCACTCGCAGTAAATAACAGCTGTATTCAGCGCCGGCAAAGCGCACAGGTCAGTACAACAACATCCCATGCATGATGCTAAAGGTAGCTGAGCAAGAAAGATGATTGCAGACCATGGTAGAATGTGGAAGAGCATGTCTAGCACTTCTAACATGCGTTCTGGGTGATGCGCTCGGCACATGTGTGTGGGCAATGCATGCATTCACGTGCCCTGGCTACCACCTTTTGTGGAGTATGAAAAAAAAATTTATAGACTTACAGTAAAAGGAAGGACACACATGTTACGAGCTAGTTATAACTAACTGTCCACCAATGTAACCAGATCATTCCCACGGAAGCGGAAAGGTGGTTCTTGACCAGGGAGTTGTACGATTCCTTGTTCTTGACCTGCCCGGTACGCGAACCCGTCGAATTTATTTATTCATTTTTTCATCTATGACTATTATGCATACGGTTTACTGGGTGTTAGTGCCCGTCGTGAGTTCCCTTTGGGAACGGACACGATAATTTGCTTTTCTTAAAAAAAAAGATTTTATTATAAAAAAAGGACCAAGGAACTACAAGTTATGCAATAATGTCCACTAACACCACCAGTTACTTGACAATCAGCTCATGCGATAGCATTCCTTGGTCCTTTTCTTTATTGTAAATTGATCATTGGCTCTCCATCCGAGACTTTATCATGCATGTGTTGTTGATGCACTCCTCTTTTTTTTGTAGCTTGCAGGCACTGGTGACTATGAGGGTGGCTATAATACGTCGGCACATGTAGCATGCAACGAAGGCCACGTGGAAACTCTGCGGCTGCTACTCGACAGAGGGCAGGACGTGAATTCCAGATTAAACGTACGTGTTAACTGGCGAACGAGCATGTTCCAGCGTTGTGCCAGCGGTATGCCACGTTATGCCGAGCTGAAAATGTATAAAATTGCTTGTTTTGTCGACAGGTCAGCACTGGTTATATATAATACAGTAAAAGCTGTCAAGGCAAGCTGAAAATCAATAAATCACCTGGTTTTGACGGTCTTCCCAATGAAGTTCTTTTAAAAACGTCTGGCACCTTCAATTTCTTTCGCCTTGACAGGTTTTACTGTAGTTTGCAACGAATGGTGCTCTGTGTCGCGTGCTGAACTTTTATCAAATTTTGTAAATTTGCTTGTTGTGTCTCCAGGTCAGCACTGGTTTTAATACGTTACTGCACACCGCCACCCTAGCCGGCCACGCCGCCATCGTGCAGCTACTCCTTGACAGAGGAGCCGACCGGGAGCTGCACGACAACGCCGGGAATAAGCCGTACGACCTTTGCACACGGGCTGATGTCCGGCGGTAGGTGCTTGCAGCCATGTGTCATTGCCTATACGTGTATACGTGCAAAGGCAGAATACCCTCAAGGGTCTGAGTTGGGTTCATCTTCTATAGAATGAAACCCGAGTATAAAGTAAAACCTGTAATGGCGACCACTCGACCATGGCGACCACTCGACCATGGCGACCACTCGACCATGGCGACCACTCGACCATGGCGACCACTCGACCATGGCGACCACATGCATGGAAGATGTACACATCAGTACTGCAGGAAGTGTGTATTGCACAGAGGTGACTTGTTTTATTCAAAGCCCCACATTTAAGTGAATAATAGCAAGGAGGTACAAGAGAAGAGCTAGAGAGAAAAAGGATACCAAGGACGAGTCCAGGTGGAAAAGGAAAAGTAAAGATAAGAACATTGAAAGGATCGGTCAGGCAATACGGTTGATTCCCATCGTGGATAGGATAATTATTCAATTGACATCCCTATTGTACATGGTGCATGCACGACATGTCGACACTTGACAGGTCTGAGGATCCCAGGCACATGCGTCATGCTAGAGTAGCATAGGTGTGTGCACTGTGAAACACTGGTCAAAATGATGTATCACACGTGGATATGGTCACGTGACCCACTGAACCTGGATAAGAAGACCACCTGGCCACGGCGACCGCTTATTCTCGTCCCTTGAGAGGTCGCCTTAGACAGGCAGTTTCACTGTATAAAGTGCCCTGGGTCTAATAAACTCATTCTCATTATAATTTTCATATTCGCTTTCATGTTATTGGGTTCTATGCCCGTTTGAATTTGCGAACGAGTCAAAATAAATACAAACAAACAAACAAACCGTATTTCCTTGAACAGCCGCTGCGGCCTGTATTAATAACTAGCAAATCATTCTTTTTTCTCATGTAAGAAACAAGCCTCTTGTACGGGCAAAACCAAAAAAAGAAGGAGCATGTGAAGGAGCATGTGAAGGAGCATGGCATCATAGCTGAAGGTCATCTCGTAGCTGTGAAATTGCATGTAAATTGTGAACAGCTCTGCATTTGTGTACAAATGACCCTCAGTTCAAAGAACCTGGCAGCGCTGGCAGCGCTTGTTCAAGGGTGGCAGGCAACCAAGGGACGGCGGGTGTTCAAGGGTGGCAGGTAACCAAGGAAACACTGTACTATGGGATATAAAAAATGTTGTTGAAAACCCTGCATGATACCACGCCAGTCATTTCACCTTGGATATAGAATATCTCTACTATACTAAAGTACAGAATGATTATACTAAAAATTAAAAAGTAAAAACGAATGGGATACGGAGCTTGGGTTGGCTGTGACTCAGAGTTTCACGCTATGGCATTATTATTATTATACTAAACTCGTATGGCCCTTGGCTTTACGTTATACTCCAGTTTCACGGTATTGGGCTCCATCGCCACCTCGGCTTGGCCGAGCATATCTGGCTAGCGTCAAAGTTACCTGCCTTCGTGCAAAGCTCGCTGTGTTTCGCCGCAGTTAAAGCCACAAGTCTTACTTTAATGGTTGCTTTGAGCCGATTTATAATGCTTGTGTTATTCACTAGTCTTCGCTGCGATCCGTTCGGCCAGTGGTTTTGAAATCCGCCGACGAGACCTAACAAGGTCGAAACAACTAGCTGTTCGGAGATTGAAGTTTCACTGTGCTGCGTCTACTGATCTGTCATCAATAGGCAGTGTACATGTATGTAAAGGTGTGTAGCAAGAAGGAGCCACGGGTGTGTATATGTGTGTGTGTGTATGTGTGTGTGTGTGTATGTGTGTGTGTGTATGTGTGTGTGTGTGTGTGTGCTTGTGTGTGTGTGTGTGCGCGTGCGTGCGTGTGTGTGGTGTGTGTGTTTGTGTGTGTGTGTGTGTTTGTGTGTGTGTGTGTGTGTGTGTGTG